TTTATCTCAACCCACGAGTTTTTCTCACTTGTGCTCTTCCAATTCTCTCCCCCATCCCACCGGGTGGGGGGCAGTGAGCGAGCGGCTGCGTGGTGCTTAGATGCCGACTGAGATTAAACCACGACAGCGATCATGCCACTGGGGGAAAGATGCTGATGAGGCATGTGGATTAACTCCTTCTTTGCACTCGCTGGTACCTCTGGACCACTGGACTGATGGGATTGGTCAGGCGGATGCCCCATGCAGGTAGCAGTACTGAGCATGCAACCTGTAGAGACCCCAGGCTCTCAGGGTGGCCAGTCCTGCCCCGCCTCCCACCGCAGTCTGGTGCAACTGTCCCCTTTCTATCCCATAACAACCGTCCTACTTCTTGCAGCACCTGACACCTGGGGTCTCACAGGCTAGGAGGAAAGACTGCCGGCAGGCTGCAAAGCATGGCCAGGGAGCTTCCTGATGAGTATCTCCTGTTGCCCCCCTCCACAGCCGGATCGGGACCGTCCTTCCCCTGAAGGACGGGGGTGCAGCATGATGCTGGGCAAGTGAGCAAAGGGGAGGCAAAGGCAGCAGCAATGGTGTGAAGATGGGAGGAGGAGGAGGAGGTGCAGGAAGTGTGTGGGAGCAAGAGAGCTGCAGGAGCGTGCAAAACCACTGCATGTGTTTGCCAGGAGGAGAAAACCTCTGAACTGTCGGAGGCAAAGCTCAGCCCTGCTCTTCCCTTCTCACCAAGGGGCCTTTCTCCTGCCCTGCTTCACCCTGGCCCACATGACTTGTGTCCACAGGGAAAGCCCTGGGTGGCATTCCCATGCAAAACACTGGGAGCACATGGCTTCATAGGCACGTGAGCGGGACCAAGCCAGGACCCCTTGCTGGACTCCTACTCTGAGAGACAAAGTCTTCAGGATCTCCTGAGGAAACCCAAACCAACACATTTTGCTGGAAATTGATGGCTGGCATTCTGTTGATTACAAAAATAACGCTATTTTTAAATTGAAGATGATGCTTTACCCATAGAATCAGGTGAAAACAAAAATTTGTTTGCATCTACCAAGATGTTTCCAGGAATACAGAAAAACCACCCAGCAAACCTTCTCTTAAAGTGATTTATTCAGGTTGCAGACCATAAGCCTCTTCTTTTGAAGAGGGTGTTATTTCCATGCTCAGCAGCTTTGTTGGTCTCATATCAGGATGGGGCCAGGAAAGCAGAAAAGAGGAGTGAGATTACGTCTGAAGAAGTCACAGAAATATTAAATAGTTCAATAGCTCCTGATTGCTACAAGGGTCAATATGCTAAGAATAGTTATAAAATGGGGAGCCAGATTGCTTATCGGGTTGGCTTATGGCTATATCTAATAAGATTAAAATCTGCTCTTCCTTTTAAAGTTCAACTTGGCTTCTGCTTATCAGTACTTCTGAAGGCTGTTCACCTGCAGGACGCTATATCTACACTGACAGGTAGCACCAGATGATCTTCTGAAATGGATTCCTGGAGGATATGTTGTTTCACAGCACTGGTTACCTGCTCCTATGCCTTTACGGTATTCCCACCTGCTCCTCCATTTGCTGGCTTGGGATCAGGGTGAGATTTAATTTCATTTGTCTGTGATTTTGAAACTGTACTTTCTACGTTTCAGATCCAAAACTCTGTTGAAGACAGAGGTAAGGATGCAACGTTTTTATGTTAGTGGAAGGCTATCAGTCACCAAATGGGGCATTATATCAACTCATGTAATTTAGTCACTAACTTAGGTGTATTATTTCTTTTGATAGTTGATGATGTTGATGGAGGGCAGCTTAGAAAGGACATTCCAGAAATAAACTCAGGTAAGTCAGGACAGTAAGTAAGCAGAGTGTTGAATTATTACAGAGATCTGAGCTAGCCTTTGGGGACCACAAGTCTGGCAGATGTGATGGCACCAGAGTGGACTGAAAGCTCCCTCCTTTGTGAGAAAAATCCCAAATGTATCATGGATATGGTGAGTATTGCAAGGCAGTTAAAAATGTGTGGGATGAACCCCAGCTACTTCTGGAGAGAAGGGAGAAGACCTCCGCTTTGGAGTCTGGTAGCAGTCAGAGAAGATGGAAGGGCAGGAGCAGAGGGGTTTTAAAATATATAAAAGCCCTCCGTTGGAGTCTGGTAGCAGTCAGAGAAGATGGAAGGGCAGGAGCAGAGGGGTTATAATATATATATAAAAATAATATATATATATATAAAAAACACCACAAGTTATATATATATATATAAAATAATATATATATATATAAAAACCACATATATATGTACTCACAGGGCAGAGGACAGAAAGGACAGAAAGGTCCGTAAAAGCTTGGTGTTGGAAAGGGAAGATGGAAAGGCCAGGAAATTTCCACAAGGATAGTTTTATAGGAAGCCCAGGATCTTAATCTTAAATTTGGAACCACACTCAACTGCTCCTGGGGAAGGCTCAGCAAGCCCTGGACTGAACCTCCATCCCTCCCCACTGCACTCTTCTGCAACACAACTCCTGGAGAAGCCTTGGCAGTGGGTCTAAT